GAGGGACACCGAAGAATCGAGTTCATGTTGTGGCCCTGCCGCAGGCTCCATCACTTGAGCCCAGATTTTCAAACGAGCTTTGCCCCCAGGACTGCGACAAGGGTAGTGGGCTGCGGGGAACCTGCCCCGGCCTTGGGTTGAGCCTCGAAAGTTTGGCCAAAAGTTGGTCAGTTTTCAATGACTTTTTGTTCCCAAATCTCTGTTTTTAAATCTTCTAAAAATGAAATTAGTCAAAACCAAACCAAACCGCTGAGATTTTGTTGAGACAAAACAGTTTATTTGACTCAAACTGAACTTTTCCACTGAAGTCCTTCCACAAGACGTGTCCGTCATGTTCTATGTCCCACCGGCGCAGAGCATGGCACGGTGCGTCTCCAAATTTCTGGTAGGGTTTGCATTTTATTTCCTTTGCTTTATCCCGTCTTCACTTTTTTTCTTTTCCACGTTAGTAAAATTCATCCCCTTTGTTATAGCTGGAGTGTGCAGGGGAATGAGGAGATTCCCGCCGAATCCATCTCAATGTTCCTAAATGTTCCCCTTCAGGATATGACCTGACCTCCTTGTCTCTGTAATATCCTGGAACTGACACGGCTGTGACACCCCTGCTTACCCTCAAGACTGAAACTTTTCCGGGGCTACTCTCTGCCTCCTGAGGCATGTTTATATGGAATCCCTGTGCAAAAAAAGTTCCTTCATTTTTGAATAGGACGATATGAGGTAGGGCGGGAGTAAACTTGATCATTTATTTGTTTGACCAGCGCTGGCTGTTTGGAGCGGATCATTGGCGTGTCGCTGGGCAACGAGAGATGCCATCCAGTGAAAGAAAAGTGCTTTGGATTTGCCCAAGTTATAGATACTTAGGGCCCAGGTCTCACCGCGTTGCAGATCATTTTACACAGGCCTGACAGGTTCCAGGTACCTGAAAGTGGGGGGTAACTCCTTTTTAAGGCGTCTGAACACTGCCAGAGCACCGTCAAGGGGCCTTAATGTAACAGAGAATCAAGACTTCATTTTTTTCCCTTGATGGGGGAACCTAGAAAATTCAGCAGCAAAAAAGATTATGCGCCTGAGCTATGTACACTAATACCGAGTTTTGATCCTGTGTTTGTCACCAAGGTCTAGAGATACTTTACCCCAGCCTTAAAGATGAAGAGTGTTTTAAGGGGGGCAAAGCTCTTGGGTAAGGGGCAAGCACGGAGGTGAATTTCACGCTACATGCCTTGTTTGTTGTTTTGATTTGCATTGTGTAACCACACACTGTCTGGGTGTGGTCTGTCCCATCTAGCAGCACTGAAACCACTTAGCGAGAGAACCGTTAATGAGTCTTCTCTGTCGCCTTAGCTAACACGCAGTTGGCTTTTAGTTCATGAGGTAGCGGCTCATGCTTTAAGCCCGCCAAGGACCGGGGTCTGTCCAAATTACAATTGCAGTAGCGGATGGGAGCCCAGTCAGGGACAAGGACCCTATGGTGCATGGCGCTGTACAAATTATACGCATTGCTCCTCTGCTGTTTGGGTGTCTGATGCTGGAGTACTGAATTATTCCTTGATTCTCGCTGCATGTTTGTGTTGCCTTGACAAGCTCTTAGATGATCTTGTCGTATTCTGATGGCCCTTGAGATTTTGGAGTGACCGCAGAATCAGCAGCATCTGTGGACTTGGCGGGCTTTGTCTGCAAGAACAGAAACAGCAGAGAGCAGAAACGTTAGCGACGGGAAAGCCAAAAACATTGAGGAGCCGTGTCAGCTGCCCTGCACCCAGTGCCAGAAACATGCCTAGGTTACCAGGGGCCGGCCTGTTCTCACGGGGGATAGAAGGACTCGTGGGAGTGTCTAGAGTGCGGGGCTCAGGTTAAGATTACAGCTGGGTGACATTTTTCAACTGAAACTTCATTTCAGCAAACAATGCAGATCTGGCAACATCAAACCAGTCCAGGAATTCGTCTTGGTTTGGCTAAATTATTTGCCTCTGTAACTTTTTTTATTTTTTTTTAAATCAATGTTTTGACATTTTTGAAATGAAATGTTTTTCTTTTTTTTTCTTCTTTTTTTTGGTTCACAATGACTTGTTTTGAAATTTCCTTTATTTATTTTTTTGAAAATCACAAATGTTTGAAAATGCTTCGAATGGAACTGAAACGTTTTGTTCAACCTAAGGTTACCATATTAAAACATTTAAAAAAGAGGACACTCCACGGGGCCCCAGCCCCGCCTCTTCCCCGCCCCAACTCCGCCCCCATTCAAACCCCTTCCCCAAAGTCCCTGCCCCAACTCTGCCCCCTCCCCTGAGCGCCCTGCATTCCCCCTCCTCCTCCCTCCCAGCCATGCAAAACAGCTGCCCGAGCGCTACCGGCTTCACAGTTTGCCGGGCAGCCCCCAGACCTCCAGACTCTGCGCCCCCAGCCGTGCGCTTCCCCAGCGCAGCCGGAGCCCGGGAGGGGAAGCCCCCAGCCGGGGGCGCAGGGTCTGGA